CGTACTGAACCGCGAACGGCCACAGAAAATGGGGAGCAGCCGCATGGATCATGGACGTACGAGCGACGTCCATGACCATGCCAATGCGGCGCTCAGCAATCCCATTTTGCTGTGGAGAGGCCGGAAGTTTGAACGTCTGGCGGATGCCCTCCGCACGACAGAAGGCTCGCAGAAGGTCGGAGGAAAACTCTCCACCTCTGTCGGAGTGCAGACGTAGAACAGGAAAGTCCGAGCCGAAACGCTCTCTGAGCTGGAGACGAGCAACGCGGATCCAGTCGATCAACACCTCAGTGACCTCATCCTTGCGGCGCAAGGGGAAGACAGAGGTGTAACGCGAGAAGTCGTCAACCACCAGCAGGAAGTAACGCTCGTGACCCTGTCCACGGACGCGGGCTGGGCCCCACACGTCCATGTGGAGAGTCTGCAGCGGAGCCTCCGTCGGAGGAAACTCGGAGGAGTGAGGAGCGGCGCGCTGCCGCCCCTCGACGCAGGGAACGCAGGTAGGGGCAGGCCCCGGAGGAAGGGGAGGGAGGGACCGGGGGAGACCAGAGACAAGGACACGGGAGGCCATGCCTCGGAGACGAGGCAAGGAGGGGTGACCAAGGCGGTGGTGCCAGAGGAGGGTCTGGTGGGACAGGAGGCGACACGAGCAGGGGGCAGACGCAGGACCTGACCGAGACGCTGCAGCAAACACCTGACTCGACGCAGCTACCTGACCAGACGCAGCAACCGGAGGAGACTCTGTGGTCAGTGTGTACAGGCTCGACCCCGGCCGACGGGTAAACGTGGCCAAGTGGCGGCCCGTCCGAGCACACGTGCAGTGGGTCACGCGTTGATGCGCAGGAGTGAACTGGTCAACCCCTCCATCCTGAAGGTCAGCACCACTCACCAAGTTCGTAGAGAACGAGGGGAGGTAGAGACCGGACAGGGAGCCGGACGGGGCCGCCGGGCACGGTAGGACAGTGGAGGAGTGGGCCAGAGGGTCTGCCAGGGAGACTGCAACCGGCCGACTGAGCGGCGTGAGAGTGGTGCGGTCTCGAAAGAAGGAGCGGGAAGCACCCGAGTCGAGGGTGAAGGTGTGCAAAACCTGTGCCGACGCCGTACCTGAGAGAGCAGACTCACCAGCACCTAGAGCAGCAGACTCACTAGCACCTAGAGCAGCAGCCTCAATGCCCGGGTCAGGCGGAACACACACGCAACAGTCACCATCAACACTAATAGACACAGCATACATGGCAGCAAGGATAGCATCAAAATCAAGATCAAAGATAGCTACACCCAACTTGAGCAGATCACCCCAGCGAGGGATTTCAGTGGTGCCAGGGAACTGGGTACGCCAGGCGTCTGTCAGGCGGCCGAAGCAGCGCGGAGTGGCGTGGAGGCCACCACATTGCTCTCCAGTGCGGTCGCCGGTGCGCAGGACGTAGGCACAGGGACCAACACCCCCAGGCCCCTGGCGTGCCGCGTACCACTCACGAAGCTGCTGGGGCGACAGGGTCTCACGAGAGCGTGGCTGGTGCTGGGGTCCCTGCTGCACAGCTCCTCCTCGACCAGCTCCACCTCCGCCGCCGCCGCCTCCGCCGCCTCCACCCAAACCGCGACCACCACCGCCGCCTCCGCCTCCACCTCCACCGCTGCCACCGAAGCCCCCACCTCTGCCACCACTCCCACCCCCACCCCCTCCTCCTCCTCCACCGCCACTACCGCCTCCCCCGCCACCTCCTCCAGCGCCCTTGCTCCCCTTGCCCTTGCCGTTGCGGCGCCTCCCGCTAGGAGCAGACGCAGCGCCGACCGACTCGGTGCCAACAAAGTCGACAACAGCAGCAGAGGCAACAGAGGGCAAAAGGGGAACGGGGGAGCACCCCTCAAAGAACGGGGTACGGGGGTCACCACGAGAGGCTCCTACAGCGACTATACTCTTCTCAGCTGCAAGAAGGCGCTCCTCGAGGAGGTCAACGGTGAGAGTGGTGGGGCAAACTGAGAGGAAGTGGTCCCTGACCGAGCGAAGGGTGTGAGGGAGTCGAGTGACTAGGTAGTAGAGGGTCATGTACATGGGGGGGGGTTCTTGGCGCAGAACTCAGCAGGAAGCGCAGCACGGTAGCGTGTGTCACTAGTGCGGAGGTGCGTAATGAGGTCAGTGACTGTGGCAAAAGCAGCGAGGTCAGGGAACAGGTACGGCAGCATGAGGCGGCTGAGGGCAGCAGTAGCAGGGGAAGAGTAGCGTGCAACTACAACGTCGTACAGAGTCTTAGCACTCTTGTACTGACTAAAGTGCGCGCGCTCGGTAGACGGCAGGTGACTACGCACAGCAAGACGGGCAGCAGCATCGCGGGTGGTCCACTGCGAGCGAACAGCACTGTCCGCATCAGCAGCAGGGGCAACAGAGGCGCCTGACGTGAGATCAAACAGTGAGATTCCATCCCTAGAATCACACTGCAGAAACATCTTCAGATCGTCGACCCAGACGTCAAAATCAACTGCCCGACCCTCAGCATCGAAGGTAAGAACAATAGAGGTAGCCATGGCAGCAGTAGCAGCAGTAGGGCGGCGGTGCGCTTACCAGTGGCGGGAGTGGAGGGCTGCTACTGGTGGGGCAGGGCCGGGGCACGTCGACAGGGCAGGGGCCGCGACGGCTGCAGTAGGCGATGGGGCCGCGGCGGCCGCTGCAGGGGTCGCGACGGCAACAGGCCGCGACAGCAGAGGGTCGCGACGGCTGCTGCAGGGGCCGCGACGGCTGTTGCAGGGGCCGCGACGGCAAGGGTTAGGGGCCGTGACGGCCGCGACGGCAGCTGCAGGGGCCGCGATGACAACGGGCCGTGACGGGGCCGCGGCGGGTGCTGTAGGGGCCGCGACGGCCGCGACTGCAGAGGGCCGCGACGGCTGGGGCAGGGGTCGCAAGGGCCGCGACGGCAGCTGCAGGGGCCGCGACGGTCGCGACGGCAGCTGCAGGGGCCGCGACTGGGGCGGGCCGCGACGGCTGAGGGCAGGGGCCGCGACGGCCGCGACGGCAGCTGCAGGGGCCGCGACTGCCGCGACGGCAGCTGCAGGGGCCGCGACGGTCGCGACGGCAGCCGCAGGGGCCGCGACTGAGGCGGGCCGCGACGGCTGCGGGCAGGGGCCGCGACGGCAGCTGCAGGGGCCGCGACGGCCGCGACGGAAGTTGCAGGGGCCGCGACAGTTGCGAGGGCAGCTGCAGGGGCTGCGACTGGGGCGGGCCGCGACGGCTGCGGGCAGGCGCACGGGGCGCAGAGGAGCAAAGCGCGATGCGCGCGACAGGGCAGAGGCGCGCTTCGGGCAGCTAAAAAAAAAAATTCAGTTAGGGCAAGGCGGAACGTTCGATGGGCCCTAGGAACGATTCTGCTCTGAAACCATGTGAGGAATAATAACGAGGAATGATTGACTAGGAGATGAGTTGGGTACAAATATGAAACCCTAGGAAACTGTACCCCATAGTGACTACCCCACTACAGCCTAAACAGACTATAGCATATAAGTTTGACAGACCCCGCCTTGGATTGATCGCAGTGATCCCCCCACATGTGCGTAATCCCCCCCCCCTTCCCGCTTTATCGAGAAGAAGTTTCTTCGAAACTTCATTCTGATACACCAACCATCGAGATTGCGCGAATCTGCAATGTCAGATATACTTTGCTGGGATTGGTCGAAATAGGCTCTGACAGCTGAAATATTTGACTCGAACAGGTGTGACTCGCCCGTTCGGTCGGTACACTCGCTCCAGGATGCACGCATCTGAGGGTGACTAACTACAGTCGCAGCGTGTCTGATGCGTGTCGTCTGGAATGTTCAGCATTCAAGCACTACGTGCCAGATGAAGAGATCCGATTGGGCATGGCAATAAGACAGGGAAACGTTACACTCGCACACCAGATAGGTCAATCACACCCGCCCTGCACAAATCAGTCGAGTGTACAGCCAGCGGGAAACACAGAGCTGTATCTCTCAACAGAGTGTAGCGGGCGCGCTAACGACAAAGACGAAACCACAAAACGACGAACTGCCCGGGGCAAAAAAAATAAACCCCAGATGGATGGCATGCCATTCGGGAGCCTCAACCCTAAAATTTTAGGGTTTAGTCTCCCGAATGGTGCATGCCATCCCGACAGGGTTTTAGTTTTTTCTGCCCGGGTCAGGGTGACGCTCGCGAAAGCGTCACCCCCGAGCGTCACCCCTGGCAAAACGGAGCGTCACCCCCGATTCCGTTGAGAGATACAGCGCGCAGACTTTATGGAGAGTGGGGATTTTTTTCCCCAGTAACAAAGCGTGCGTTAATTCTCTGATGTTCAGTTCTCGACCCTGAACAATCAGAGTTACCGTATTCTCCCGGACATAAGACCCTAGGGTCTTATGAAAAATTCAGAGAAAAAAAGGGGGGGGTCTTATCAAAGGCTCAGAAATGTATAGTACCCGGGTCTTATCATATGGACATATTTTTATTAAGTGTATTTGAATGCTTAGCTGTTGTGGGTGATACAACATTTTTTTTTTTATCATGGATAGGACCGCGGATGTGCTTATTTCGCTGATCAATCCGGGTGTGGCTTCTCATTGGTCGAAATGGCACATTTAGGGTGATCTAGCGTTACATGGCAAGATTCCTCGCCTTGTCATCGTGCATTCCAACCTTAGCGGTCTAGAACATGCACGACTCGCGAGCATGGGCTGCACGAGAGACCTTGGAGCGGCCCCCACGGTTTTGGGTGGCGCATGTCAACGTCACAACTGCACCATGCCTTGTGCTCTGACTGATTCTTCATCTGTGCACGAGGCTGCTTTCTGCTCGGCAGACTCTTTGTGCATTCCCCCGTACCGCAGATGGTCGTTGAAGGCTTGCGACGGCCAGTACTTAGAGCATTAGCATTTGCGTTACAGAATCAATAGTGATGGTGACTTCTCCTGACTCTGGGATATCACATTTAAGGCGCCCTCGTCCCACAGCCACTAATCGAGCGGCACATGCTAGAGCTTCACCTCGGCCCATTATGCCAACGTCTCCAACGTCCAGTAGTGATCCTACTGTTAGTGCCCATGGCTCTCCCCTGCAACACCCCTCGCTTCCTAGAGTCGTTATCCCAGTTTTCCCGCAGTCAAGTCGTCCTCAAGGCATGAAGAAGAGAGTCTTGGATGCCGCGCCTCCCTCACCTCGTCATAGGATGACCAAGCGGACCCGGCACGCGTTTACCGCTAAGGAGAAGCTTCACTGGCTGGCCATGCTGGATTCTCAGCCAGATCTCAGCATCTGCGGCTTGGCGAGGCTCGCCAAGGTGCAGCCGAAGCAGATCCGCGAGTGGAAGAGGCTTAAGGAGCGCCTCGAAGTCTCTGCTGGATGTCGCCGACGGCTTCATGGTGGCGGACGGAAGGCGAAGTGGCCTGCGATGGAAAGGGCGGTGTACCGCCAGTTCCTTGCGCACCGTGCCAAGGGGTTGGCGGTTCCGCTGAGCTTGCTCCGTAAGTGGTCATTGAAGTACATGAAGCACCGCCAGCCTGCTGCTAATTTCCGCGCGTCTGCGCGGTGGACCTTTCGCTTTCGCGTCCGGTGGTCCTTGGCGAAACGCGTGAAGACCAAGATGGGGCAGAAACTCACAGCAAGTAAGCAACCATCTCTTACCGTTATCCCCTTGCCTTAACGGTTCTAAGCAATCACGATTGCTTAGTGATGTCTTCTTGATTGCCTACCGATTCTTTTGTGTTGTGTGCCGCAGATTGCAAGGGAAAGGTTGAAGCCTTTTGGGAATTCGTCCGCCAGATGCGCGTACTCCATCGGTTTTCGACGAGTCTGATCGTGAATGCCGACCAGACACCTCTCTTCCTGGAGATGCCGGCGGAACGCACCCTCGAAATGAAAGGCGCCCGCACCGTGCATGTCAGGACGGCGGGGTATGAAAAGGAGTGCGTCACTGTCATGCTGGCAGTGACGGCTGACGGCCTCAAGCTCCCGCCGTACGTCATCTTCAAGCGCAAGACGGTGCCACGGATCGTGGTGCCACCAGGTGAGTTGGTAGGACGTGTACCGCTACCAACACCATTATCTTAATCGCAATGTTACTAACGCAGATCGTGGCTTGCGCAGGTGTCATCATCCGCACCCAAGAAAAGGGCTGGATGGATGAGCGCCTTGTCCAGGACTGGACGACCCAGGTGCTCGTCCCGTTCTTGAAGCCGCTGCGGGACGAGGAGGGAAGGCGCAAGCAGGCGCTACTCGTCCTGGACTCGTACAGGGGCCACCTCACCGAAGGCACAGGCCAGACGCTGAAGATGTTCAAGGTGACGCGTGCCGTAATCCCTGGCGGTTGCACCCCCCTGGTGCAGCCGCTCGATGTCTCCATCAACCGCAGCTTCAAGTGCGGGGTTCGCCACCGCTATAGCACTTGGTTCGAGGAGGTGGGGATCGGCCTCACCACACGTGCAGGTGAGGGTTTGTCCCTTGTGTCTTGCCATAGGCCGTCCTCGTTTGATCCTGCTGACATGCAAACCAACACCCCATGTGTTGCCCCACAGGGAACATGAAGAAGCCCCCGCCTGAAACCGTGCTTAAATGGATTGCAGAGGCGTGGGCCGATGTGCCAGAGGAGCTGGTGAGGAAGGCATTCCTCACCACCGGCATCTCCAACGCTGAAGATGGGAGCGAGGATCATCTGATCCTCGCTCACATGCGGGATAATGCCGAGGTGGAGGTTTTGGAGGATGTCCTCGAGGAGGCAGAGGATGGTCCCCTCCCCAACCCGTTCTACGAAGACCCCGCAGACGCCCCTGAGCCCGCAACCACCGAGGGGGAGGAGGAGGAAGAGGCCGAGCCTGGGCTTGATGGGGAGGCGGATGGGGTGGATGCTGCGGCAGAGGGGCTTGAGGCGGCATCCCTGGAGGAGGAGGATGAGGCAGACGAGGTGATGGGAGAAGCTGACGAATGGAGCGACGATGGGGAGGAGTGGTGGGCCCCTGGCCGCTTTGATGGGGAGGAAGTGGAGGAGTGGGTGGCAGGCCAGGAGTAGGGACTGACGTGGTATGCTGCAGCATGCATGCACTGTGATCCTTGAACAATCAACCCTGTGTGGGTTTATGGACATCTAACTCTCTTAGCATTGTTAGTGTGGGCACGAAAACGAACAAGAGAACCCCAATTGGACTAGTATCTAGGCTCGGGGGGGGTCTAGTAATGTTACCCCCTCAAGGGGGGGGTATAGTGGAAACCTGCCAAAATAAAAGACCCACCCCCGTATTACAGACCCGGGGGTCTTGTTTTCCGGGGGGTCTTATATCCGGGAGAATACGGTAACTACTTTACAACCCTGAGCAATCAGGGTACTGCTTTTCTGGAAAATGTGCACCCATAATAGAGGGAGAATTTTTTCCCTGGAATCAGGGAGGCCTAAAATGAAACGTCAGCCCTGAATCAGGGAGGCTTAAAATGATTCGTCAGCCCTGCCAACAGTAATCCGTTACCACTCGCGACACTCGCCTCGACACTGTTCCCGCCACTGTTCACGACGCGACCCAATCTCACGCTTCGGTTGGTAACCCGCGTTCCGGACCTCCACCTCGACATTTCCCAACCTCGGCGCTAGGCCCGTCGCGCACCCCATTTTCCCCACATTACCGTTACCACTGTAGTTTCGCAATATATTCTTCGCTCATGCCTTCGCTCATTGTACTCTTGCTTCGACAGTGCAATTCTCGCTCGATCACTCTATTGCACTCATAACATTGTCCTTCATCAAACAAGGAGACACTTTGCAAAAGATATGCGCCCGAATCCATCCAAACGCAAAAGTGGGACCATGTCAAAGATACGTTACAGAAATACTCTTGCACTATCATTTTGATGCAACATTATCAAGATGCGTTCCAAAACAGAGTATAGGATCCATACTCAAACTACATCCAGGAAGGATCCAACAGTTTGAGCATGCAACCACTCTGACTGAGCGCTCCATGATCAACCTCAATGGTTTCCCAATCGGCTCCATTCACAAAATCTTGCCAAATTCCAGTTTCACAAATCTCCTGCAGCTGCTTAGCACTTGCGCTGGAACAGAGGGCACCCGCACGCAAAGTTGACGCTTACTTTACCACTGCGCACCACATTAGAGCACGAGCAACATACAGTATGCTTCCACGAATATCAGCAAAATTTCCCCAAATCATTAAGGCCCACGTTTCATTAGAATGGGAAAAAAAAGCCATGATGAAGCGACACAGCAGGATGCACACTGGCAGACACTCTCACCACACCATGCGTAAGAGAGACTTCGAGCGATGCACTTACTCCATTGCGCACTGAGACAGTGTCAGGGTCGCCAATCAGCCACACTGATGTTGTTGTTGAGGCACCTCAAAAACCACACCATGATAAATAAGCTTCGATACTTACGCTCCATTGTGTACTGATACAGAGTCACGGTCGCCAAATGCCCACACAATGCATACTGACATTCACTCTCACCACAATATCGTGGTGCCTCAGAAGTACTTACGCTCCATTGTGCACTGAGACAGTATCGCCATCTCCGAAGGCCCACACAATGTTGTTGTCATTGTCAGCCTTGACCTTCACCGATGCCCCATCGCCCTTGTTCTTGGTGAACCTGGTGTGAGGGATGAGAAGATGGTAAGCGAGAAGAAGGCCGATGGGTGGCAGCGTGGTAAGAGCGCTGGCAAGCAAGCAGAAGGACAACAAGAAACCGTACAAGAAAACATTGAACGAGGGAACTTAAAAACGGGAGAGCCTATGACGAGGCAACCTACGACACAGGATACTACAACGAGGCATCTTACAACTGGGAAACGCCATATCTCAAGAGCACACCACATTGCTTACTTCATGATGACCTTGCTGCCAGACGTGGAGATCGAGCCTGATCCGACGGTCCACGACGCATCGTCCGCCGACGACTGTCCGACGAGATCTTTCGTTACCGGGCTGCCCGAGGAGTCAGTGGCGATGGCGTTGCTGCCCGCCATGCCGCCATTGGGTGAGAAGCCCACGGCAAACCACCCAGCAGCCTTGGCCCCCGATGCCACCACGGCCATCTTGATTGTCCGCCCCTTGGTGGCCTTCCAGTGCAGCACCAGCCTGAGGGGGGGAGCGGGTGGAAGCGCCATGCGCGGGGAGGGGAGAATGCACGGGGGAAAGGGGAAATGCGCGGTGAGTGTGCGCGGCGGAAGCGGGTGGAGCGAAGGGGTTGGCGTAGCGTATAAAGAGCCCACGGCGAACCACCCACCGGCCTGGCCCCCGATGCCACTACGGCGGCCATGTACACTGTGCGCCCCTTGGTTGCCTTCCAGTGCAGCGCGAGCCTGGCGCGGGGAGCGGGGAATGCCCGGGGACTAAAGAATGCGCGGGAATGGGGGACCAGCAAGGAATCTGGGCTGTAGAAGCGGGTGCAATGCGGAAGGAAGCGCGGGGGATAGCGCAGCGAACCCCTCCGCCTCCCTGACTGCATATGTGACCGCCGCCATTCCGCTGTTACGGATGGAGTGATGCATGGCAGAAAAGTGTGGCGGGATAGCAGGCAAAACCAGGGAAATCAGGGGGAATGCGGGGAAGTGGGTGGGGATCGCGTGGCGGAAATGTGAGGCGGGGTAGCAGGCAGAACCAGGGAAAACAGGGAAACGTGGAAGGACGAAAAACAACGGAGCGGGTGCAACTGGCAGAGTGTAATCCTCTGAGGCCGCCCGTCCGCCCGTACCCCGTCCGCCCTTACCCCGTCCGCCCTTACCCCGTCCGCCCTTACCCCGTCCGCCCTTACCCGGATGTCAGGCCAGCCTTGGACGTGTATCCCTTGAGGTTCGACCTGCCGCAGCTGAAGCGGCTGAACAGCTGCCGGCGAATGATCAAGTTGGTCGCAGGGCTCTGCGACGACGGTGCGACACGCGTGGCGACGCCCTGCGACGCGAGGAGGAGCACGCAGCTGAGAGCGAGCAGGAAAAGCGCGAGAAGGCGGGCCATGGATGCGACGATTGGAGGCGATCAGAGGCGACCAGAGGCGACCGGGGGCGACGGGAGGCGACGAGAGCGCGGCAAGAGACGACGCGATTCGACAAATAGAAGTTGGCTACGGCTCAACGTGGTTTCTCGGACTGAAAGGCTCAGTGATTGTGGCGGCGGGAGGGAAGCGTGGCGGGCGGCGTAGCGGGGAGTTCGCGCTATCTGGTCGGGTGCGAGGCAATTGGGAGGCGTTGGTGACGAGTATGCTTGAACGATGCTGTGATAGCTCTACAATTTGTACGAACTTATAAACGACGGGTCAACGAGAAGGAACAAATGCTTTGCGGGTGGATAGAGTCGTCGTAAGCAAGCGACAGGGGAGGGGAGGGGGAGGAAACAGGCGAGGCACAAGCGTGGGAGGCGGAGGATGAGGAAGGCGTGTGTGGGGGAGGGAGACGGGGAGGAGGGGGAAAGCGGGTGTCGCGAAGCAGCGTCCAGCTCATCGCAGCTTGGTTGAGCAGCTTTGACGAGCTTCGTCAAGGTTTTGTGGCGAACCAGCCAGCGGGCTTCGTTGGGTTATGGCGAGTCGCGACGACATGCAAAACGATGCCGCCATCTGGGTGGATCGCCCAATCGACTACTTGACGTCGCCACGTCAGGCTACGCAAACCTCCTTTCAGCGTGTGCTGCAGTAAACGCGGTACGGTTCCTTAGGTAAGAAGCACACGTCAGTGGTGCCCAACCGATATTTGCAGAAGCTCCCATTCTTCATTTTAGCTACTGTTCTCGTAACAAACAGGTCCATTGGGTGAAGAAAAATGCGCGCTTCTAGTGCGTTTTGGGGCGTTTGTTGAATGCAGTACTTAATAGAAACTGTTATTTAACAAGAAACATCTAAACAGCCCGCAATCACCGACCTAACCTACCCTACCTATCGCTGTACATGAATCGAAGCAAATGTCTACGTGTCCATCAACGAGTGGACCGTGGTTGTATGAAAGCGTGAGACGCGGCTTGGTTCCGTCAGAAAATCAACACTGCTTTCCTGGTCGGTGGCCATGGTGGAGAAAAGAAACTCACTAAAAGAACCATGGTTCTGTGAATCGCAGACGTAGAAGCAGAAGTGTTCTTGCAGTTTCAAACACAGAAATCACTATAATCCGAGTATTCAGATGTGATCCAGACGTGCAAAAACAACTCATGATAAATACATAACTTATGTACATCTCTTAATCCCCTCGCGTGTGCCTTGCGCAACCGGGGGTTTTGTGGTATACAAATATTTACAGGTCTAGGTACTAGCATGCACCCCCTCGCTTCCCAGACATTCTCTCCTTCCACTGCCACAAGGCGTCCCTCCAGTGCCTCTGCTTTTGCCTTTTAGCCACTCTCCCCACCTGATGTGTGCTTCTAGCAACGTCAGAGCTCTCACAGCTCATACAGCTATTGTCCCTGCATGGACTGCCGCAATGGCAGCAATCATTGCTCGTGCACGGTGGGTCTACATCCACTCGTGAATCATCCATTGTGCTATCACCCATGTCGGCAGCAACTTCAATGGGAGCCTCAGCCTCCTCTGATTGAGTATTTGTGAGAATGTCGACCCTGTCTAGCAGCTTCGTTAGCTTCCTGGCCATGTCTCGCCGCAAGTTCCTAACGTCCTGGTTCGGGGACTGCACCTCGTCCAACCGCAACAGCCAGCTCATGATCGTCTCGCTCACCCGAAGCTTCTCCATAGGGTCGGAAACCATCTTAGCCACGAATTCGTTATCCCGAAGCTGCACGTCCATCTCGTTGACCAGTTTCCGAACGTCAGCTATGGACCGAGCCAGTTCGAGAGGCTTGCCTTGGCGCACAGAATAGCCCCGCCATGCTGCTTGCACCTTCCGAGCAGCATTGTCAGGCGTCAACAACGATACGGGAGCGACTTTAGTAGCAGGAACGCCGGCGACGCCCGCCATTGGCGACGCTGCCGACCTGTCGGGTCGCGTGCTACTATCATTGCTTGCTGGGTGCTGGACGGGTATTTGACGGAGAAATGCTTGCTCTTGCGTCTGTGGCTGTCTAATCTTCGTCTCATTCACATCTTGTTGCGGCACTCGCGAGCGCGCTGCCTGCTTCCGTGCAGTCTCATGTTTTCGCGTGTCATTGCGTCGACTCTGCGCCAAATTCCCCGCTGGCGAGTCACAGCTGTCGTCGAACCGGAACGGATCGCCGAAAAGCGGAGACGAAGAGGAGGCGAAGTTCCAAGGTGTCGGTTGGGAATGATAATGGCTCGCGTAAGGAGATGCGAAAAGGTGGGGTGGTTGTCGCTCGAAAAGCAAATCTGACATACCGAATGCCATTTTCTGATTAACGACCGTATCGAATGAGGTGCTGGCGATTGAAAGAAAACGTTTGTCTAAGCCTTGGAATCGTCGTAAGCTTGTTTGAATGTAGTCTGACTGAAAGTAGCTGAAGTAGCTGATTTGAAAGTAAGTTGAATGCTGGGTTTACCTAGAGGTTGTATTTATAGGAGTGGCGGGACTGGTGGTGGTGGTTTTAGAACCATCTCACACCACCGAGACCCAGCGAGAAAGTTCTACATACGCCAGATCCAGCAGGCTCGCGAATCCGCATGGTGCTTCGCGAACCTGCATGGTGCTTCGCGAATCCGCGTGGTGATTTGCGAGTCGTGTGGTACCTCGCGTGGTGGCTCGCTAATCCAAGTGCTGCTTCGCGAGCCGCTTGTTGCTTCGTGAGAACGCGTGAAAATGAAGGGAAGATGCTGACGGCCTGTCCCTGATGCCTTGTGAAATCGTGCCTGCATCCTCCAGGAGCTTGTGAAGGGGTTGGAGCTGGGGAGCGCTGTGATCGCGTCGCGAAGCTGTAGAATGACGGTAGGTTACCTCGCGATCTGGTTGCGAACAAAGCTGACGCTGAAACAGCACAACAAGAAAACCTTTTGTTACATTCGCCCAGAGGGTAGGATTTCATAGGTAGTATATAATTGTGGGACTAAAAGAATACCATATGGTTCATCCATACCATGTTTCCACCCATTGCACTGCCCTCTCTGAAAGTTTTATTTGACTTCCAACATTTACCATTGAAATGATTGCCTTCAATCTTCCATAAAATGTACACTTCGCTTCACAAGGCATGTGAACAGACATCCATCCATCACGTATATTAACCTAGAAACAAGCTGCAAAGCCCCGAGAGAACTGTCATGTAGGCTGTAGCTAACAAAGAATGCTCAGCCAATGAGCTCGGAGATGGGTGGTCGCTCCATGACATAAGCGGACTGCTTTGCTGCCTTGGCCAATGAGGGGTCGATGCCGGGAAGGTATGGGATCTGGATTTGGGGTCCACGGCAAGGAGACAAGGGGAGAGACAGGGAGGGAGAAGGACGAAAAGGCGGACGCAGGGTGAATGGGAGATGTAACGAGCGGAGAGGGCAAGGGTGGGAGAGAGGGGGAATTGAGAGTAATACGGAGCGTGTGAGGGAGATATCAAATTGAATTCTTCTCCATGAGGAACAATCGAGAGACTGTTTCATTGGCATTGAGAATGAACGAAAAAAAAAAAAAATCACATAACAGATAAAGGAAAATGCCATGCATTGGGAGAGATGCGGTGAGAGAGACCAAGACAAGCAGGTGGACTCGAGAGAGACACAGTGATTTTGCCTTGAAAGGAGTTGACCCCCACTCCTCGAGAGAGACACAGTGGTGGTGATGCTTGCGAGAGATAGAGATGGTAGTTGACATGGATCAATGGCGTGGCACAAACCTGAGAGAGCAAACCAACTTTTGAGTCGACCCAAAAATCGACTCAAGAGTCGACCAGATAAACTTGCTTGTGAAGGACAGAGATGATATTTGAGAAGGATCGCCAACAGGAGCACAAACATGAGAAAGCTTTTGAGGCGACTAAAAAATTGCGGGTAATGAGACAACTTTTTGAGGGCGCCTCTAAATTTTCTTGTGATGGACAGAGATGGCATTTGAGAAGGACAGACAGAGATGATATTTGAGATGAATCGCCAACAGGAGCACAGACCTGAGAGAGCAAGTCAATGGTGCGCCTTAGCAGCCGTGCAATGTCCCCCTCATCCAGCCCCGCACAGTCAGCGATGAGCTGGCGCCACGTCACACCCTGCGCCCACGCCTCCACCACTCCCGCGAACTGCGCGTCCAGGTCAGCAGGGATTGCCACGTTGGCAGCCAGCTGGAGCTGCATCAGCCAATCGCGGCGCTCCTCTGCCTCGTACACCCACTCCTGCACCTCCCAGGAGGGCTCGTAGGGGAAGGAGGGCGAACTGGCGGGATGGGGGCGAAGGGCGAGGCAAAAGGGCAGGGCGTAAGGGCTAGGACAAACTCTGCCTCGTACACCCACTCCTGCACCTCCCAGGAGGGCTCGTAGGGGAAGGAGGGCAAACTGGCGGGATGGGGGCGAAGGGCGAGGCAAAAGGGCAGGGCGTAAGGGCTAGGACAAACTCTGCCTCGTACACCCACTCCTGCACCTCCCAGGAGGGCTCGTAGGGGAAGGAGGGCGAACTGGGGGGGTGGGGGGGAAGGAGGTCAGGCCAAGGGTGAGATGAATGGGTAGTGCATGAGGGATAGGGTAAATGGGGAGGAAGGCTTGAGACGTCTCAAGATCCTGCCTCGTACCCCCACTCCTGCACCTCCCAGGAAGGCTTGTAGGGGAAGGAGGGTGAACTGGAGGGGTGGAGGGGGGCGGGAATGGGTGAGTGAGACCAAAGGTGAGACAGAAGGGGCATGGCGTAAGGGATAGGGTAGATGGGGCAGATGGGGCAGATGGGGCAGATGGGGAAAGCAAGTTCTGGGACGACTCAGAGCAAACCCGAACGTACGCACACCCCTGCACCTCCAAGGAAGGATTGTAAGGGAAGGAGGGAGGGAGAGAAGGGTAGGTGATGGGGAGCAAGGGTCGAATGACAAGAGAGGGAGATATGAGGAGGGAGAGGATACACGAGCTTACAGCCCCTCACCTGCCGTCGCCTGTGCGCATGCACATGCCTTCAGACACCAGGGGACACCAGGTGAGGCACCAGGTGAAACACCAGGTAAGGCACCAGGTGAAACACCAGGTGAGGCACCAGGTGAAACATCAGGTGGCACCTGCCTTATCTTCCAAAAATGCCACTGCCACCCCTCACCTGCCGTCGCCTGTGCGCATGCGCATAGCTTCAAACACCAAATGACACCTGCTTTATCTCCCCCCATTGCCACTGACACCCCTCCCCTGCCCTGTTGCCCCCAATGTACCCTAAACCCTCACCTGCCGTCGCCTGTGCGCATGCGCGTGCCTTGAGACACCCGGTGACACCTGAGTCACACACGCGTGCCCTCAAGAATCACAGTCCCTCACCTGCCGTCGCCTGTGCGCATGCGCATGCCTTCAGACACCAGAGCGGCGCAGCACCCCGCAATGGCTGGCGGTGAGAGGCGCGGGAGGGAGGGGTGCGAGAGAGCTACTGCGATCCACAGCTCGTTCACCCCTCGCACCTGCGTGAATGGGGAGAGGGGAGACAGGAGACCGGAGACGGGAGACGGGAGACAGGAGGGAGGAGCCATTTCTCTGGCGGCCATTTCTCTGGTCATTATTGTGGCGGGTGCATCAGCCACCACATGAGAGCAGCTGCTTGACTCACTACATCCACCACCTCCATGCAACCCACCGCCTGTCCCACAACCTGAAAAAACACCAGATTCACCTGGCCATGTCACCTCTCACCTTGGCAGCAATCTCCCCGAGCGGCATGAGCGTGCTGCTCTGCGGGTCCAGCGCATCCGCCTGAGCCAGCACCTGAACCACCTGAACAAACTCCTGCCACCCGGCCGGCTGCATGCCCGCAATCCGCCTCCTCAGAGCCTCCACCCGCCTCCCCACCTTCCCCTCCTCGTACTCACACCTCCCCATCTCCGTCATCTGCTGCTGCCGCCGCTTATACACCGCCGAAGCCTTTACTCTCTTTCTAGTTTGTGATAGCTTCTGCTTGTGTGACTTGAGGGAGGCTTCGAGGGAGGAGAGTGAGGAGGGGAGGGTGAGGTGATTGGAGTCTTCTGAAGGGGAGAGGGGGGAGATGGGGGACCAGCCTTGGGGGAAGCGGATGGCGGAGGTGAGGTGGAGGAGGGGGGTTTTGGATTTGATTCGCCAGACGCTGAATGTGGGGTGAGGGGTGGATAGCCACGAGGCAAATTGTGATTCGCTTTCAGTGGTGCTGGTGGGTAAGGAGTCTCCTGCAGCTCCCAAATCCCGATCTCCCATTTGCCCAATCACTCCCTCGTTCCCATTCTCTCCCCACTTGCCCCTTCCACTTTCCTCTTCTCCTCCTCCCACCTCTGTTCTCTCCCCTTTCTCCCCTCCGCTCCCCCTGAGCCATCCCTGTAGCATCTCCGGCACAGGCGGCAGGAAAAGTTTCAGCTTTGCCGCCCGCTGCCACCCAGCCGTCTCATCTGCCTCGTCCTGCCGGCCATCCGGCCAGAGGTACCTGCCAACGAGCTGCCGCCCGTCGGCCGCTGACATGGCGAGCTCCGATTGATCGGTGGGGTCGTACTGCGCTCTGATTAGCTGGCGGATGCAGGGCGAGGGGAGGATGTACCAATGGGAATCCTCCCCTATAACTGCCACGTAGGACGGCGATGAGGAGAGAGAGGATGGGGAGGAAGAGGAGGAAGAAGAGGAGGATGATGGAGTGGTGCTGGTTCTACCGTCACTATCATTTAGACCGCCCAATTGAGCCACCGTTTTCAGTCCTTGGGCCTCTCTCCCTTCCTCCTCCTCCTCCTCCTGCTCCCTTCCCCTCTCCCTTCCCCTCTCCCCTCCCTCTCCCCGCCTTCCACTATTCCGCAAACTCCTCTTTCCATCCCCCTTTCCCTCCACCACTCTTCCCTTCGCCACTCTCCCCATATCACCGCCCTCCTCCTCCCCCACCCCTCCTTCCTCCGCCCAGTCCTCCCCCTCCTCCTGCAGGTACGGGGGCAGCGCCTCCAGCTGCCCAACCAGCAGCCCCCGAACCGACCGCACAGCCCCGGACGCCAGGTCTGGGAACTGCGCGGTTACCACGAGCCTGCGCCCCGCAGGTGCGGGAGCGGGGCGAGCAGCACCATTCCCACCAGGCACAGTAAAATCACCAGCACCATTCATCCCACCAGCAGCTGCTGAAGTTTCAACTGCAGGCAAATCATCAGAGGCAGCAGCACCATCTGTAGCGGCAGCAACGGCAGCAGCAGCAACGGGTGCTTCATGCGCCTCGTCAACCTTGTCAGCCCAGAGCAAGGCGTCCTGTATCTGGGGGTCGAGGGCGGATGCTCGCTGCTGAAACACCTGCCTCTGCAGTGTTGCCACCGTGTGCCGCGTGGACTGAGGGAGAAGTGGGGTGTGGGGGAAAGGGGGAGAGGGCGAGATTATGATCGCACAGGGCGGGAGGAGTGGAGGGTGCCGGCGTGTGTGAGGAGATGTGACAAGAGGATGCGATGTGGGCAGGGAGGAAGGGAGAGAGTGAGCACAACAGGAAGAGCGGCACGTGAATCAATGCCTCCCCACACCGCTCTCAACCCATTTAACCCATAAACTCACCACGAACTCCCCCACCATGGCTCGGAACGCCCCTGTCACCTCATCCTCCCCCATGCCATGTCCTCTCCTCATCCCTTCCTCCCCATCCCCACCACCTCCCCCAGCCCTTTCCCCCCACCACCTCCCCCAGCCCTTTCCCCCCACCACCTCCCCCAGCCCTTTCCCCCCACCACCTCCCCCAGCCCATTCCCCCCACCACTCACCACGAACTCGCCCACCATGGCTCGGAACGCGCCTGTCACCTCGTCCTCCCCCTCCTCCTCGCTCCGCATCTGCCTCTCCACCTCCCCTCTGCGCTGCCTCAGCTGCGCCAGCTTCTCCTCCAACGTTGCTAGCTGCTGCCGCGCCTGCTGCAGCACCTGTGGAGAGGCAAAGAGGAGGGAGGTGGGAAAGGTGGGAAAGGTGGGGAAGGTGGGGAAGGTGGGGGTTTCAAACGTGGCAATTGTTCCTTTGCACTCCACATCTTCCTCTCCTCCGGCGCTGCCAACTACGACCAACCCCTACGTCACACATCTCCACGCACGGGCCACGCCAGGTAGGGCGTTCACATGGCGCTCACTCACATGGCGTTCACATGGCGCTCACATGGCGCTCACATGGCATTCACATGGCGTTCACATGGCGCTCACATGGCGCTCACATGGCGTTCACATGGCGCTCACATGGCGTTCACATGGCGTTCACATGGCGCTCACATGGCGCTCACATGGCGCTCACATGGCGCTCACATGGCGTTCACATGGCGTTCACATGGCGCTCACATGGCGTTCACATGGCACTCACATGGCACTCACATGGCGTTCTCATGCCATGCATTCTCACGCCAAAGCTCACTTGGCATTCTCATGTCATACTCACACTGTCTCACACTCTCACTCCCACTTACCTCGCTCGCCAGGTAGTTCCCGAAGCTCCTCTCTATCAGCACCTTTGCTTCCTCCATACAGTAAGAGGCTCCCCACCCGCCCGCCCGCCCGCCCGCCCGCCCGCCCACCCACCCACCCACCCACCCATGGTAGCTGGACGGACAATTCTGTGGCACACACTCCCAAGCACTCATGCACCCATGCTCTGCCTCCCACCCATGCTCGCCTCCCACGCACCTCGCTCGCCTCCCACGCACCTCGCTCGCCTCCCACGCACCTCGCTCGCCTCCCACGCACCTCGCTCGCCTCCCACGCACCTCGCTCGCCTCCCACGCACCTCGCTCGCCTCCCACGCACCTCGCTCGCCTCCCACGCACCTCGCTCGCCTCCCACGCACCTCGCTCGCCTCCCACGCACCTCGCTCGCCTCCCACGCACCTCGCTCGCCTCCCCACGCACCTCGCTCGCCTCCACGCACCTCGCTCGCCTCCCACGCACCTCGCTCGCCTCCCACGCACCTCGCTCGCCTCCCACGCCACCTCGCTCGCCTCCCACGCACCTCGCTCGCCTCCCACGCACCTCGCTCGCCTCCCACGCACCTCGCTCGCCTCCCACGCACCTCGCTCGCCTCCCACGCACCTCGCTCGCCTCCCACGCACCTCGCTCGCCTCCCACGCACCTCGCTCGCCTCCCACGCACCTCGCTCGCCTCCCACGCACCTCGCTCGCCTCCCACGCACCTCGCTCGCCTCCCACGCACCTCGCTCGCCTCCCACGCACCTCGCTCGCCTCCCACGCACCTCGCTCGCCTCCCACGCACCTCGCTCGCCTCCCACGCACCTCGCTCGCCTCCCACGCACCTCGCTCGCCTCCCACGCACCTCGCTCGCCTCCCACGCACCTCGCTCGCCTCCCACGCACCTCGCTCGCCTCCCACGCACCTCGCTCGCCTCCCACGCACCTCGCTCGCCTCCCACGCACCTCGCTCGCCTCCCACGCACCTCGCTCGCCTCCCACGCACCTCGCTCGCCAGGTAGTTCCCAAAGCTCCTCTCTATCAGCGCCTTCGCCTCTTCCATGCTGCGCCCCCGCCGCACCGCCACTGCCGTCACCGGCTCTGCCGCTGCTGCCGCTGACGCCTCTGCTGCTTCGCCCTCCTCCCCTGCAGCAGCTACTGCAGGCTCGCCTGCAGCGCCGTTGCTGGTAGAGGCACCCTCGTTTGAGTCACCTCCGTCTGCGCCCGTACCACTGCCCGCCTCTGTCTTCTCCTGCCAAACAGGAGCGCCCTGTGGAAAAGACACGTGGCAAAGAATGAAACCGCATAAAAGAAGATTTGTTTTGAGATGTCTGAAAACAATACCTGCCACACAGGAGCGCTCAGTGGAACAGACATGTGTGACACAAAATGAGAATGAAAAGAAACGGACAGAGGGACTGGGGGGAGGGAGAGGGGAGGGAGGAAGCGGGGAGGAGGGGAAGAGGATGCGTAAAACAAGAGAGAAGATGATAGGGTATGGAGAAATGAAGGGCAAAGGCACGGGGTAGAGAAAGAGGAAGTGCAGGGGTTCACAGGTCGACTCAAAAATGTTTGAATGCTTATTGCATGGATGGGAGGGGCATGACTCAAGGCTGAGTCATGCGAGTCGTGCGAGTCAAGCGAGTCATGCGAGTCATGCGAGTCGTGCGAGTCAAGCGAGTCGTGCGAGTCATGCGAGTCATGCAAGTCATGCGAGTCGTGCGAGTCATCTCTCATCGACCCACCCCCATCAGACTCACCCCCAGTAGGTTAAGTACCATGCCATAGGTGGCCGTGAACTGCGACACAAGCGGGTCAGTCCCTCCCAACAGGTTTCCGCTGTTTTTCCTTTGCTTTAAGCCTACTACACGCACGCAGCTCACTGAGATATGTCTAAATCTGCCATAGGTGGCGTGGTGGTGAACTGCGACACAAGCGGGTCAGTCCCTCCCAGCAGCAGGCAGCACCACCTCCTGAGTCCACTCTCAACAGTCTTCACACACACATGCAGTGCAACCGAACTGAGTGACCCACCCTACCACATTCAACTCACCCCCAGCAGCTTGAGTGCCATGCCATAGGTGGCGGTGAATTGGGAGACGAGGGGGTCAGCCCCTCCCAGCAGCAGGCGGCAGCAATCCTGAGCGCCCTCGAAGGGCGTCTGCACCACCACCACCACATTGCGTGCCCCTGCCCCTGTGTGCTCTGAGATTGAGCGAGCGCCACCACACCACAGGCACATACAAACACTCTGAGTGAGCCACCCCATGGAATGGAACTCACCCCCAGCAGGTTGAGCGCCATGCCATAGGTGGCCGTGAACTGAGACACAAGCGGGTCAGCCCCCCCCAGCAGCAGGCGGCAGCAGTCCTGCGCGCCCTCAAAGGGCGTCTGCACCACCACCACGTGCCCCTGCCTGTCCTTGCCCCGCCTCCCTGCCCGCCCCGCCATCTGAAGCATTGCGTTTGCTGAGAGCAGACTGCGACCCGCATTACCACTGTGCACAAGGTGAGGGGGAGTGGAAGGGGAAGGTGAGAGGGGAATGAAAGGGCGTCTGCACCACCACCACGTGCCCCTGCCCCTCCTGCCCGCCCGCCCCGCCATCTGTAGCAGCGCGTTGGCTGAGAGGAGACTGCGACCCGCGTTACCCCTGCGCACGAGGTGAGGGGGAGTGGAAGGGAAAGGTGAGAGGAGGAGAGGGAAGGGGAATGAAAGGGCGTCTGCACCACCACCACGTGCCCCTGCCTGTCCTTGCCCCTCCTGCCCGCACGCCCCGCCATCTGCAGCATCGCTTTGGCTGAGAGCAGGCTGCGACCGGCGTTTCCCCTGAGAATAATAGAGAGGGGAAGAGAGGGGGGACGAACATGAAATGAAAATAACATGACAAGTTAGCGGATAGCCACAACAGATGCCAATGCACGTACCATCGCACACACCATCGCACACACCATCGCACATACCATCGCACACACCATCGCACATACCATCGCACATACCATCGCACATACCATCGCACACACCATCGCACACACGATCGCACACAGCATCGCACACAGCATCGCACACACCATCGCACACACCATCGCACATACCATCGCACACACCATCGCACACACCAGCACACACCATCGCACACACCATCGCACACAGCATCGCACACAGCATCGCACACAGCATCGCACACAGCATCGCACACAGCATCGCACACAGCATCGCACACAGCATCGCACACAGCATCGCACACAGCATCGCACACAGCATCGCACACAGCATCGCACACAGCATCGCACACACCATCGCACACACCATCGCACATACCATCGCACACACCATCGCACACACCAGCACACTCCATCGCACACACCATCGGACACAGCATCGCACACAGCATCGCACACAGCATCGCACACAGCATCGCACACAGCATCGCACACAGCATCGCACACAGCATCGCACACAGCATCGCACACAGCATTGCACCTCTATCACACCCAGCACCATGCATCCATACCCGCCCAGATGCTTGGAGAGAGCAGAGAGCACAGTGGTGCGAGCAGGCATGTTGATGCCCGCTGACAGTGTCTCTGTGGCGAACACCACCTGGTGGGAGGAAGGCGAAGGTGGGGAGGGAGGGGGGGAGGAGGAGAGAGGAGTGGGGACTGGGGAGGAGGGGAGGGATAGAGGAAATAGCCCAGAGAGCACAGTGGTGCGAGCAGGCATGTTGATGCCCGCTGTCAGTGTCTCTGTGGCGAACACCACCTGGTGGGAGGAAGGCGAAGGTGGGGAGGGAGGGGGGGAGGAGGAGAGAGGAGTGGGGACTGGGGAGGAGGGGAGGGATAGAGGAAATAGCCCAGAGAGCACAGTGGTGCGAGCAGGCATGCTGATGCCCGCTGACAGTGTCTCTGTGGCGAACACCACCTGGTGGGAGGAAGGCGAAGGTGGGGAGGGAGGGGGGGAGGAGGAGAGAGGAGTGGGGACTGGGGAGGAGGGGAGGGATAGAGGAAATAGCCCAGAGAGCACAGTGGTGCGAGCAGGCATGCTGATGCCCGCTGACAGTGTCTCTGTGGCGAACACCACCTGGTGGGAGGAAGGCGAAGGTGGGGAGGGAGGGGGGGAGGAGGAGAGAGGAGTGGGGACTGGGGAGGAGGGGAGGGATAGAGGAAATAGCCCAGAGAGCACAGTGGTGCGAGCAGGCATGTTGATGCCCGCTGACAGTGTCTCTGTGGCGAACACCACCTGGTGGGAGGAAGGCGAAGGTGGGGAGGGAGGGGGGGAGGAGGAGAGAGGAGTGGGGACTGGGGAGGAGGGGAGGGATAGAGGAAATAGCCCAGAGAGCACAGTGGTGCGAGCAGGCATGTTGATGCCCGCTGTCAGTGTCTCTGTGGCGAACACCACCTGGTGGGAGGAAGGCGAAGGTGGGGAGGGAGGGGGGGAGGAGGAGAGAGGAGTGGGGACTGGGGAGGAGGGGAGGGATAGAGGAAATAGCCCAGAGAGCACAGTGGTGCGAGCAGGCATGCTGATGCCCGCTGACAGTGTCTCTGTGGCGAACACCACCTGGTGGGAGGAAGGCGAAGGTGGGGAGGGAGGGGGGGAGGAGGAGAGAGGAGTGGGGACTGGGGAGGAGGGGAGGGATAGAGGAAATAGCCCAGAGAGCACAGTGGTGCGAGCAGGCATGCTGATGCCCGCTGACAGTGTCTCTGTGGCGAACACCACCTGGTGGGAGGAAGGCGAAGGTGGGGAGGGAGGGGGGGAGGAGGAGAGAGGAGTGGGGACTGGGGAGGAGGGGAGGGATAGAGGAAATAGCCCAGAGAGCACAGTGGTGCGAGCAGGCATGTTGATGCCCGCTGACAGTGTCTCTGTGGCGAACACCACCTGGTGGGAGGAAGGCGAAGGTGGGGAGGGAGGGGGGGGAGGAGGAGAGAGGAGTGGGGACTGGGGAGGAGGGGAGGGATAGAGGAAATAGACCAGAGAGCACAGTGGTGCGAGCAGGCATGCTGATGCCCGCTGACAGTGTCTCTGTGGCGAACACCACCTGGTGGGAGGAAGGCGAAGGTGGGGAGGGAGGGGGGGAGGAGGAGAGAGGAGTGGGGACTGGGGAGGAGGGGAGGGATAGAGGAAATAGCCCAGAGAGCACAGTGGTGCGAGCAGGCATGCTGATGCCCGCTGACAGTGTCTCTGTGGCGAACACCACCTGGTGGGAGGAAGGCGAAGGTGGGGAGGGAGGGGGGGGAGGAGGAGAGAGGAGTGGGGACTGGGGAGGAGGGGAGGGATAGAGGAAATAGCCCAGAGAGCACAGTGGTGCGAGCAGGCATGCTGATGCCCGCTGACAGTGTCTCTGTGGCGAACACCACCTGGTGGGAGGAAGGCGAAGGTGGGGAGGGAGGGGGGGAGGAGGAGAGAGGAGTGGGGACTGGGGAGGAGGGGAGGGATAGAGGAAATAGCCCAGAGAGCACAGTGGTGCGAGCAGGCATGTTGATGCCCGCTGACAGTGTCTCTGTGGCGACCACCACCTGGTGGGAGGAAGGCGAAGGTGGGGAGGGAGGGGGGGAGGAGGAGAGAGGAGTGGGGACTGGGGAGGAGGGGAGGGATAGAGGAAATAGCCCAGAGAGCACAGTGGTGCGAGCAGGCATGCTGATGCCCGCTGACAATGTCTCTGTGGCGAACACCACCTGGTGGGAGGAAGGCGAAGGTGGGGAGGGAGGGGGGGAGGAGGAGAGAGGAGTGGGGACTGGGGAGGAGGGGAGGGATAGAGGAAATAGCCCAGAGAGCACAGTGGTGCGAGCAGGCATGCTGATGCCCGCTGACAGTGTCTCTGTGGCGAACACCACCTGGTGGGAGGAAGGCGAAGGTGGGGAGGGAGGGGGGGAGGAGGAGAGAGGAGTGGGGACTGGGGAGGAGGGGAGGGATAGAGGAAATAGCCCAGAGAGCACAGTGGTGCGAGCAGGCATGCTGATGCCCGCTGACAGTGTCTCTGTGGCGAACACCACCTGGTGGGAGGAAGGCGAAGGTGGGGAGGGAGGGGGGGAGGAGGAGAGAGGAGTGGGGACTGGGGAGGAGGGGAGGGATAGAGGAAATAGCCCAGAGAGCACAGTGGTGCGAGCAGGCATGCTGATGCCCGCTGACAGTGTCTCTGTGGCGAACACCACCTGGTGGGAGGAAGGCGAAGGTGGGGAGGGAGGGGGGGAGGAGGAGAGAGGAGTGGGGACTGGGGAGGAGGGGAGGGATAGAGGAAATAGCCCAGAGAGCACAGTGGTGCGAGCAGGCATGTTGATGCCCGCTGACAGTGTCTCTGTGGCGACCACCACCTGGTGGGAGGAAGGCGAAGATGGGGAGGGAGGGGGGGAGGAGGAGAGAGGAGTGGGGACTGGGGAGGAGGGGAGGGATAGAGGAAATCGCCCAGAGAGCACAGTGGTGCGAGCAGGCATGTTGATGCCCGCTGACAGTGTCTCTGTGGCGAACACCACCTGGTGGGAGGAAGGCGAAGGTGGGGAGGGAGGGGGGGAGGAGGAGAGAGGAGTGGGGACTGGGGAGGAGGGGAGGGATAGAGGAAATAGCCCAGAGAGCACAGTGGTGCGAGCAGGCATGTTGATGCCCGCTGACAGTGTCTCTGTGGCGAACACCACCTGGTGGGAGGAAGGCGAAGGTGGGGAGGGAGGGGGGGAGGAGGAGAGAGGAGTGGGGACTGGGGAGGAGGGGAGGGATAGAGGAAATAGCCCAGAGAGCACAGTGGTGCGAGCAGGCATGTTGATGCCCGCTGACAGTGTCTCTGTGGCGAACACCACCTGGTGGGAGGAAGGCGAAGGTGGGGAGGGAGGGGGGGAGGAGGAGAGAGGAGTGGGGACTGGGGAGGAGGGGAGGGATAGAGGAAATAGCCCAGAGAGCACAGTGATTCGCGCTGGCATGTTGATGCCCGCTGACAGTGTCTCTGTTGCGAATACCACCTGGTGGGGTGTGGATGGGGGGAGGGCGGGAGGGCGGGAGGGAGGGAAAGCAGCAACGGTGGGTTAAGCCGCGGTTTGGAGAGGAAAGGGAAGGGCGGGGAAGAGCGAGGAGGGGGAAGAGGCGGAAGAGGACGAGAGATGCGGTAAAGAGAAGAGGGGCAAAGAGAGGAGGGGCAGAGAAAGGAGGGGCAGAGAAAGGAGGGGCAGAGAAAGGAGGGGCAGAGAAAGGAGGGGCAGAGAAAGGAGGGGCAGAGAGCACAGTGGTGGTGCACACCACACCATACAGCACCACACAGCACCGCACGCACGGCACCACACAGCACCACACAACACCTCTCAGAACCACGGACCTTGACGAGCCCGCGTTGAAACAGGTCCTCCACGAACCCCTTCCAGGGCGGCAGGCACCCTGCATGGTGCACCGCCACTCCCTTCTTGAGTGCTTTCCTAACAGCCCAGCCCAGCAGCACAGCACCGCATCCCACCGCACAGCACCGCACACACCTTGACCAGCCCGCGTTGAAAGAGGTCCTCCACGAACCCCTTCCAGGGTGGCAGGCACCCCGCATGGTGCGCCGCCACTCCCTTCTTTAGCGCCTCCACCGCCCCCTCCCTCACCGCCTCCGGCTGCTGCTGCCTCAGCGCTGCTATCGCTTCTGCCACCTCCTCCTGTGAGCATGACAGGGGAAGGAGGAGGAGGGGAGGGGAAGAGGGGAGAATGGGCAAGGGGCAGGGGCAACATTTGCTGCCCCCTCTGTCACTCCCTCTGGCTGCTGCTGCCCCATGGATGGCCCACCAACCTGTGCCCGTGAAAATTGAACGCAAGGGAACACAAAAGGTCCGACAAAGATACTTCCTTCTCTTGGCACACTCACTCGTCTTCATCCCTTCATTCACACTCACTCCCTCCCCCTTTCCCTCTCACCCACCTGTTCAGTGGGTGACAGCAGGTTGGTGCTCTGCATCTATTCCCTCTCATCTCTTCACACTCATAATTGAACAAGTGTTTTGAGACGTCTCAAAATACTCCTCTCTCATCTCTTCACACTCACTCACCTCGCGCTCATTCATCAGCCCACCCACTCACACTCACTCTCCTGTTCACTCACTCATCTGTTCACTCAATCTCTCCTATTTATTCTCTCACCTCGTCCCTCCCTCACCTGTTCACGGGGCGACAGCAGGTTCGTATCCCGCACATGTGACACCCGCGGGCGACAGCACAAAAGACACGGCCGTGTGACACCCGCGGGCGACAGCACAAAAGACACGGCCGTGTGACACCCGCGGTGGCTGAAGATGAACCAGATGGCGGGCAGCATGTCCTTCTTTCTCAGCTGCCCCAATTGCTCTCGTGAATTCATTCCCTCTGCCCACTCCCTCCCCCCCCCTAGCACTCACTCACTTGCTCACCAGCCCACTCACTTCACCCTTCCCCCTCCCCTCCCCCCTACCCTCCCTCCTCCCCTCCCCCCTACCCTCCCCCGCACCTGTTCACGGGGCGACAGCAGGTTGGTATCCCGAACAAAAGACACAGCGGTGTCGCAGCCTCGCCGGCTGAAGATGAACCAGATGGCGGGCAGCATGTCCTTCTTTCTCAGCTGCTCCAGTGTGTCTCTCACCCGCGGCACCTGCCGCCGCCACTGCTGCTGCACCTGCTGCGCCGACAGCTCCTCTACTCGGTTCTTCGCCTCCCCCCGCCGCCCCTTCCCCACCAGCTCGGCTAACCCTCCCCCACTACGAGACAAAGCTGCTGCGATCCCCTTCCCGTTCTTGCTGCCCTTCTTGCCTACTCTCCCTGCGTCTCTGTCTGCTCTCCCTGCGAAACCCTTAGATTCCTTCCCTCGCTTGCCACTGCCGCCGCTGCTGCTTTGGTCATCCGCATCCCACCGTTGGAAGGATCTGCCACTGCCACGTGGCAGCATCCTACCGGACTGCAGCTCCTCCAAAAACGGGTCACCAGAAGGGCGCAGCAGCAGCTGACTGGCAGAGGATTAGAGGGATGTTTGGAGGGTCGGGGGAAGGTAGGGGAAGAGTTACGAAGGGTGACGGGCGGTTGGGGAAAAGTTGGGGGATTGGGGGGTGTTGGGGGGGTGTGGGGGGGCGGGGGAAGAGAAGGTGTGGAGATATGGGGGAACCAAGGGGAGGGGGAAGGGAGAACGGGAGGGTAACAGCGGCAAGAACGTGCAGAGGAGTGGGACGAAACAAAGCAAAAACAGGGGAGGAAGGATAACGAGGACAGATGGTTGGAGAGGGAGAGTTGAAGGAGGGAGAGGAAGAGGGGGGAAAAGAGGAACATTGAAAGGGAGAAGAGTGGGAGGGGAGAGGGGGGGGGGGGTGGGGGAAGGAGAGAAGCGAGTGCTCGAGCATACGGGCTGATGTCTCGGCCGCGATTGTCACGACGAGGCAGAGGCATGCGGTGGGAAGGGAAGGAGAGAAGCAAGTATGAGTGTGTGTGAGTGTGTGCGAGTGTGTGCGAGTGTGTGCGAGTGTGTGTGAGTGTGTGCGAGTGTGTGCGAGTGTGTGCATGCGCACGGGTTGATGTCACGGCCACGGTTGTCAAGAAGAGGCAGAGGCAGCATGCGGTGGGAAGGGAAGGAGAGAAGCAAGTATGAGTGTGTGTGAGTGTGTGCGAGTGTGTGCGAGTGTGTGCGAGTGTGTGTGAGTGTGTGCGAGTGTGTGTGAGTGTGTGTGAGTGTGTGCGAGTGTGTGCATGCGTACGGGTTGATGTCACGGCCACGGTTGTCAAGAAGAGGCAGAGGCAGCATGCGGTGGGAAGGGAAGGAGAGAAGCAAGTATGAGTGTGTGTGAGTGTGTGCGAGTGTGTGCGAGTGTGTGCGAGTGTGTGTGAGTGTGTGCGAGTGTGTGTGAGTGTGTGTGAGTGTGTGCGAGTGTGTGCATGCGTACGGGTTGATGTCACGGCCACGGTTGTCAAGAAGAGGCAGAGGCAGCATGCGGTGGGAAGGGAAGGAGAGAAGCAAGTATGAGTGTGTGTGAGTGTGTGCGAGTGTGTGCGAGTGTGTGCGAGTGTGTGTGAGTGTGTGCGAGTGTGTGTGAGTGTGTGTGAGTGTGTGCGAGTGTGTGCATGCGTACGGGTTGATGTCACGGCCACGGTTGTCAAGAAGAGGCAGCATGCGGAAACGTGTGGAGAAGTGCCACTTGAGCGGTACCGGGCGGTGCTGTGAGGTGACGAGCTCCGTGCGCCCATGCACCTGATGGCAGCGGGGCAGGCAGGCGAGTGGGAGGGTGGGCAGGCAGGCGGGTGGGAGGGTGGGCAGGCAGGCGAGTGGGAGGGTGGGCAGGCAGGCTGGTGGGAGGGTGGGCAGGCAGGCGGGTGGGCGGGAAATGAAAATGGCAATGGGAGATGGATCATGGAATGAGTAAGTTGCTGAGGGAGCTGCTGGGCGAGATGGATGAAGTTGATTGGCCGGATAGCCGGATGAACCAGATGGCCGGCAGTGTGCCCTTCCTCCTCCGCTGATGCAAGCACAGATGCAACGCATGTCATAAGTTGATTTTTTAGAGGATATGCTAACAGAGAGGATGCTGACTGGCAGAGGGGCAGAGGGCAGGTGGACACGAGGAGAAACATCAAAGTCAGCAAGGCGGGGTCAAGGAAGACGTGGAGGGATGTAGAGGTGCTGCACGGTTGAGAGCAGCAATGTTGTTGTAAGGGGCGGTGGCATCTTCAGACGAATCCTAGGCGAGGCGAGAAGGAGCCAGGGAAGGGAGGAGGGAGAAGAGCGAGCAGCGAGACAGACCAACGTGATGGCTTGCAGACTAAGAAATCTCTCTCTCACTCACTCACTAACTCACCCTGCCAATCCAGTCTGCAAGCTCATCAGGGTTGGCGACCGTGGCGGAGAGGCACACTAGCTGAATGGACTTGGGGCAGTAGATCACCTGCAGGTAGCAGAGACAGGAAGAGAGGGAGGGGGGAGGTGGGTGGTGTGGGTGGGTAGGAGAGAATTCTGTCACGTCTCTCCCAAGAGATGTTGTGTAGGGGCAGATTCGATCGTAGCAAGCCAACCGAGCTCGCTCGTGCGTAGATCTACATGGTGATATCGATATACATGGATGGACCTAACCAGATCTAACTAGGTGAACAACAGCGAGCGGAAGAAAGACTTAGAAAGTCAATTGGTAAGACAAAACATCGCTTGGGATGTGCGTGCGAACGCGTTTCGACCAAACAGGCCTTCATCAGCGCAGTGAGGGAGGGGTAGGTCGGTGGTGTGGGTGGGTGGGTAGGAGAGAATTCTGTCGCGTCTCTTTCAAGAGGCAGGCACACCAGCTGAATGGCCTTGGAGAAGTAAATCACCTGGGTTATCACTGCTTGGCCTTGGTGCTCGCTCGCAGTGCACCAAAGAAGGAGAGGGTAGGGTGCATAAGGGAGAACCATGTTGGATGTGGTAGCAGGACAAACTGTATATAGAATCAGTGATTCTATTTAACGATGGAAGTCGTTTTGACGTCCTCGTGGTAAGATATAATGTATGATTGTCTATATCGTTAGTCACGTTTTTTATGCACTTGATGCATCACTGATTTTATATACAGTTTGTCCTGCTACCACATCCAACATGGAATGCTCATCTTCTTGTAGCAGACGTGGATGCAGCAGGTATGCTTGCTTGCATCGCAGATAGTCCTACAGCCAGGCCGAACATAAGGTGAAGTATAATGTGGCCGAGTGAAACCAATCCCCGCCAGCCAGCCCTCCCCCCCTCACTCACCGTCTCCTCCCACACAGTGCCCCTTGAGATGTCCGACAGGTAGTGCACCTCGTCCAGCACCACCGCCTCCACTCCCCTCAGCCTCTCCTCCTCCGCCTCGCCCGCCCCCATGCTGCCAGGCGAGGAGAGAGAGACGGGGGGTGGGGGGTAGGGAGATTGGAAGGGGAGAGAGGGGAGGAGAGGGAGTGTGGGGAATGGGGGTGTGGTTGGGAGCAGGGAGGGAAGGAGGAATGGAGGGGGTGAGAGGCAGTGCACCTTGTTTATAGAAAAAGGGGAAACTCGAGAAGAGGAGGGAGGGGGGAATGGGAGGAGGGAGATAAATGACGTTCCATTCCAGTATAGTTACGTGACACACCTGGTGTAACTATTTTCACATCTCGCTCCCTTGAGGCAACGCACCTGTAGAGAACGTCGCTATAGTCACACCCTTTGAAAGGCATCTCAGTCCCTGAAGGTAGCGCACCTCGACCTGGTGTAGAGCACGTCACTATAGTCACACTTGGTGAAGGGCAACTCGTCTCAATATATTCACACCCTTCACCTGCGTAGGCCACCTCGCTATAGCGACACACCCCACTTGGTGCAGAGCACCTCGCTATTGTCATACCTGTTGCAGAGCATCTCGCTACAGTCACAACACACATGGTGCAGAGCATCTCGCTATAGTCACATACCACACCTGGTTCAGAGCATCTTGCTATAGTCATGCCACACCTGGTGTAGAGCATGTTGCGCATCACACCTGGTGTAGAGCATGTTGCGCATCACACCTGGTGTAGAGCATGTTGCGCATCACACCTGGTGTTAAGCGTGTCGCTATAGTCACACCTGGTGAAGATCATCTCGCTATAGTCACACACACCTGGTGTAGAGCATGTTGCGCAGGATTTCAGTGGTCATGACGAGGATGGGCGCGTCTCGGTTCACTGCCACGTCACCAGTCAGCAGCCCCACGTTGCCCTCCCCAAACTTCACCCTGCCATGCCACGTGGCAGCACAGCATGGTTGGGGGAGGACCGGTGGCAGGCCAGGTGTAACAAGCAAAAGGTAAGGACGGAGGCTTGCGACGGCGCAGGAGAGTAGGCGCAGGGGCAGAAGAATAGGCGTAGGGCGGGCGGCAGAAGAATAGAAAGCAGGGAAATCATGGCTCTGTTGCATCCTTGCCAAATGACAACGAACCTGAACTCTAATTGTCCCACCCACCTCCTCTGTGCATCGCATCGCAGCGCACCTGAAGTCCCGGAGTTTCTGGTTGGAGAGGGCTTTGAGCGGCGTGGTGTAGATGAGGCGCCCTCCCCGCGCCATGGTGGCTGCTGCCGCTGCCTCCCCCACGAGTGTCTTGCCGCTGCTGGTGGGCGCACACACCACCACTGACGACCCTCGCAGAAAGGCCTCTATCGCCACTCGCTGTCAGGAATGAAGGGTTAGGATTAGAACATTGGAGGATCAGGGCTGATTGCAGTAAGTAAGCGCACGAAGTTCCTCCCCCACGAGTGTCTTGCCGCTGCTGGTGAGCGCGGCGCACACACCACCACTGATGAGCCACGGAGAAACCCCTCTATCGCCACTCGCTCTGCATCAAATGAAAAGGTTGGGTTCGAAAATGAGAGAATCAGGCCTGATTGCACCTAGTGCATGAGGTGCCTCCCTTATGAGTCTCTTGCCGCTGCTGCTGGTGGGCTGCGTGCACACACCACCACTGAGGAGCCACGTAGGTAGGCCTCTATTGCCACTCGCTGCACGGAGGTTGACATTGGGGTTGGGGTTGTGTAATCAACACAGCTGCTGCTTACCCCACGAGTGTCTTGCCGCTGCTGGTGGGCTCACACACCACCACTGACGATCCCCGCAGGAATGCCTCTTTTGCCACTTGCTGTTGGAAAGGAAGGGATGGGGGTTAAAGAGAGAGAGAATCAGGATTGGTTGCGGCCAGTGCTGCCGCTGCCTCCCCCACAAGTGTCTTGCCACTGCGGGTGGGCGCACTCACCACCACTGATGAGCCTCGCAGGAACGCAGGTCCACAGGAAGGCCACTATCGCCACTCGCTGTAGGGAGGTAGAGTTTGGGGTTGGGGTTGGATGAGGGTTCAACACTGCTGCTGCCTCCCTCACGAGTGTCCTGCCACTGCGGGTGGGCGCACTCACCACCACTGATGAGCCTCGCAGGAACGCAGGTCCGCAGGAAGGCCACTATCGCCACTCGCTGTAGGGAGGTAGAGTTTGGGGTTGGGGTTGGATGAGGGTTCAACACTGCTGCTGCCTCCCTCACGAGTGTCTTGCCACTGCGGGTGGGCTCACTCACCACCACTGATGAGCCCCGCAGAAACGCCTCTGTCTTCACTCGCCGCAGGAGGGAGAGGGAGGTGTGGGGATGGGGGAGAGGCGGAAGGGTTAGGCTCTATAGACGGGATTGGGTGATTGGAAATCAGGGTTGAGGGTTTAAGGTGAGATTGGGTGACAAGGGTGTGAGAAAAGGGTTTGGGTCAGAGTTGAGAGGTGAACAGACGCCAGCCAGGGCAGGCTGGAAAGTATTCCAATGGGTATCAGCAGAGAAGCGGAAACGAAGGAGGGGAAGTGAGATGCCGGAATGCGTTCGGCACTACAAGTGTCGCACGGCAGCCCATGAAAGTTGAGGAGGGTCGGACAAGAGTGCCGCACGCACGGCAGTAGTTTCTTGCAGGGCGGCAAGGACGCAAGGACAGGAGGAGGGTACACATGGCCCAACGGCTGTGATCATCTAGAGAAGGATCCAACGGCTGGCACCATTCACCTGGAACTTGTCAATGGGGTGGTCAAACAGCCTCGCCAGATCACGAGCCGTGATCACCGCACCACCACCACCACCTGCACCAGCATCAGCATCAGCAGCGGTGGCATACTGAGCTTGCTGTACTCGCATCTGCAGCTGATGCACTCTCTCGCTCATGCTCATCCCCTCCATCCCCATCCCCTCCCCTCCCTCCTCCTCCTCCTCCTCCTCTTCCTCCTCCTCTTCCTCCTCCTCTTCCTCTTCCTCCTCCTCGTCTTCATAGTCACTCTCCCCTACAATCACATCCAGCACCCCCTCCTCTAGCTCCTCCAGATCCTCCCCGCCCCCCTCCTCCTCCACCTCGTCATCATCCATCTCGAATCGCGTCATGCCTCCGCCAATCGCGGCGCCACCTGCGCCCCGCTCTCTCTGCTGCTGAAGCGACTCGAATCGCTCCATCAGTTGGTCCACCGTTCTAGTCACATTCCGCTCGTCCTCGCTGTAACCGCCTCCGTTATAAGCACTCGACGAGTTGTAGGCGCCTCCATATTTGCTTGTTTCGTCGTCCCAGCCTTGGGATCTCCAGCTGTTCGATCCGTTATCAACTGATTCGCTACCAACTCCGCCGTTTCCGCGTACCCCACCTCCCCGCTTCCCCTTCCCCTTATCATTTCGCTCTGCTCTCCCCCGTATGCCCCTAATACTGGAATTTTCCCTCATGTTTTCCGCCGACCGCGAGAAATGCGCGCCCGCGCCACCCCCCCCACTCGCCTTCGGCGTTGAAAACCCTAATCCTTGCGCCCTCCGCCATCCCCCCCTCCCCCCCAGTCCCTTACTCCGAAGTCCATTCCATTCGTGCCTTAGAAATGCACCCTTCCCCGCGCTGCTTATACACAGCTTAATTTGCGCGGAACGCGGAAGCGCGCTTTGAGCGGCGGAAGGGACGCGGAGCGAGGGGAGAAGAGGGAGGGAGATGAGGGGGAGAGAGCGGAAAGAGACGCAGGAGGAGGGGAGCTGAGGGGATCCTGATGCGAGACACGACGGGGTGATGACGGAAAATTTATTGCCGACGCGGGAATTCGATACCGCGACGCATTGCGAGTGAGCGGAAGCTGCCATAGGAACGACGCGTTGCGGCGAGAAGGACTTTCAAAGAGCCCCTCGCCTGCTCCCGTGAATATCAAAGCTTCGGGATATGTTATTCGTATTCCCGGGCAGGCAGCTAGTCCACTAAGTCTCAGCTAGCGTAGCACAGCGTCGTCAAACGCACATTCTGGAAAGAGCAAGGCCAGTTGCTGAACGCGACGAGCGACGAGCGACGAGCGACGCCCACGCCGATCCTCATCAATGGTTCAGATCAGAATCATCGGAATGGCATAGAGCGTGGTTGTGCTGAAAGCGGGATGGACGGACATCCATATCGTATGTCCAACATAATAGACATCTGGGATGGACCCTGGGTGAGTGCTGCTGAGGGGGTGCAAAGGCAGCAGGACAGCCTTCACTTTCGGAATACGGTTTTGGGACACTTCACGTGGCAATTTCATTGCAGTTACCACCACTGCGTAGTGCGAGAACACTACGATGTTCGGTTCCTTCTGGACCCTGAACACGGTACTCAGGTCATCTAGAATGCGCCCTCACTCAGAAATATCCACAAACACACCAGATATTTGTGCTTTGCATATTTCCCGCACTTTTCTGACTGTTGATGCGAGTCAGTGCGTGGTTTACACCGCAGTGCACTGCCGAGAATCTCACTCCACCGTTCTATGACAGGCTCGAATCGCAGACATCTACCGTGCTAAACCGCACCAAATCGCGTAAAAACTGCAACCAGTCCAACCTGAAACACTGCATTCCTCTCATATCCTGTAGCGGGCTTGAGTCGATCCGAGCAAGCTTCTCGCTACCGAAGCGCGGCGCAATGCAATCAACTTCTTACGAGCTTGCACTATCCAGGGCTTGTTGCCGCCATTAGCATTGATTTTTAAAAGAATATCACCTTGGTGCCCTTAGCAGCGGATTCTTGATCCGTTTCTTACCCGTCGCCCGCCCGTAGCTCTATCTGTGCGACTGCCGCCCGCTGTCGTTGCGACGTTCGCGAAAGTCGCGCGTTTTCGTCAGCACTGTTTTTCGTTAACGACACCAAGTGGCGAGCGTTAAGCGATTGCAGCGACAATGCTTTCCTGCCGCGCGCTCTCATCCTGCGCGCGGCTTCAAATGATCCTCTTTTCGCACGTCCCCCTGCGACTCTCTACGACAAGCTGGCGATCACCTCCGTCACCGATCCCAACCGATCCGCTCCTTGCTCTGTCCTCTGGTTTCCCGCGGCAAATAAGCACGCGCCCAGCAGCTGTTGCAGGTCGACCGAGCGCCGGCAATTCCGCCGCGTCTTCAGGGAACGCACGAAAAGGTGCTACTAGCGACCGCGACAGTCAGACTCCCCGTGTTAAACCCTCCGCCCGCCTTCGGCCGCAAGCCGTTACTTCCGCTTCCGCCGACTCTCAAGCTACCCCCAATGCCAAGCCCGCGACCCGCCGGCGAACGCGCACGGCTGCTGCTGGCGCTGCTTCCGGCGCGCCTGTAGCGGATGCGCCAGTAACGGGTAGCAGTGCTGTTACCGCGGAGGGCGCGACTGTAACGGGCCCAGCAGTACCCGAGGGGGAAGCACCCGGGGGGGCGCAGGCGGAAGGGGAAGGGGCAGAGGCGCAAGGAGCGCGGGGTAGCGGGGCGATCCACGTGATCACGGGGCCGATGTTCGCGGGGAAGACGACGGCGCTGCTGGCGCGCATGCACGAAGAGATGGGGCGCGGCAGGTGAGAGATGGGGCGCGGCAGGTGAGAGATGGGGCGCGGCAGGTGAGAGATGGGGCGCGGCAGATGAGAGATGGGACGCGGCAGGTGAGAGATGGGGCGAAGAAGATGAGAGATTGGGCGCGGCAGGTGAGAGATTGGGCGCGGCAGGTGAGAGATGGGGCGCGGCAGGTGAGAGATTGGGCGCGGCAGGTGAGAGATTGGGCGCGGCAGGTGAGAGATTGGGCGCGGCAGGTGAGAGATTGGGCGTGGCAGTTCGAAGCGTCTGAAACCCGAGACCAGAAACCCAAACCCTTGCATTCGAACTGCCAAATCTTGCAACCCCAAGGTGTGAGCGCGTGGCGTAGCAAGCACGTGGCGGTGCTGAAGTGGCGTGCGACACATGATACACACAAGGCCGTGCCTCAGACCCCAAACACTCAAACAATCGAACACCAAAACCTTCAACATCCAAACCCCAGATTCCGTTCTCACAGCACTGCAGGCGTGTAGTGGTGGTGAAGTCAAAGGTTGCCACGCGGTACGCGCGGGACGCAGATGACTGGAACCACAAACCTGAACTCTTAAACCCAAACCCTGCAGGCGTTTGGTGGTGGTGAAGTCAAAGGCCGACACGCGGTACGCGCGGGACGCGGTGGTGTCGCACGACGGCGCCGCCATGCCGTGCCTTGCTGTGCGCTCCCTGCTGGAAGTGCTTTCAGTGGGGGGTGCACATCGAGAAGCCTACGAGCAGGTAAGATGCTGACAAAAGGGTTGAGTGCGGTACTGTGTTTCTTCAGGTACGCGCGGGACGCGGTGGTGTCTCATGACGGCGCCGCCATGCCGTGCCTTGCTGTCAGGAGCCTGCTGGAGGTGTTGGCAGAGGAGGGTGCAATTCGAGAAGCCTACGAGCAGGTGAGATGCTGTGCTGGACAGGGGGAGGTGCCGTGCGGTGCCGTGAGGTGCTGTGAGGTGCTGTGAGGTGCTGTCACATGACGGCGCCGCCATGCCCTGCCTCGCTGTGCGCTCCCTGCTGGAAGTGCTTTCAGAGGAGATGCCGCACCGAGAAGCGTACGGGCAGCAAGTTGCCTTGCCTCGTGGTCCGGCTGCTGGAGGTGCCAGCAGACAACGCAAGCTCTCCCTCTCCTCCCCTCTCCCTCCTGTGTCCCCTCCCCATGCTCTCCTCTCCTTCACCCCACCCCATCCCATCCCCCAGGCGCCAGTGATAGGGGTGGACGAGGCGCAATTCATTCACGGGCTGGTGGAGTCTTAAAAAATGTCCTCTCTGTCCACCTACCCCCTTCCCCCACCCCCCACCCCTCCCCCTCCTCCCTATCCCCCAGGCAGCAGTGATAGGGGTGGACGAGGTGTGGTTCATTGAATGAACCACTCCACCAGAACTTCATTCACGGGCTGGTGGAGTGGCGCCTATAAAGCAGCCCCTCACCTCTGTCCTCGCCTCTCCTCTGTCCTCGCCTCTCCTCTCCACCCTGTGTCTTACCTGCCTGCCTCTGCAGGCATCGGTGATAGGGGTGGACGAGGCGCAGTTCATTCACGGGCTGGTGGAGTTCTCCTTGCGGGCGGCAGACCATGACGGCAAGACACTGTTCATCGCAGGGCTGGACGGCGACTTTCGGAGGTGTGTGTTGAGTGGTGTGCTACATGGTGGTATGCGATGATGTGCGGTGCTGTGGTGTGTGCTGTGCGGTGTGTGGTGTGGTGTGTGGTGTGTGGTTTACGGTGTGTGGTGTGGTGTGTGGTGTGTGTGTGGTCTGGTGTGCAGTGGTGCACGGTGGTGTGGGTGGGGTGGCATGCTAACTCACCCGTTGCCTTTTCTCTGCCGTTCTTCCTAACCACTTGTACATCTGCATCTTTTATCCAACTGCTAGCCTCCATGTGTCGTCCCCATCATTTAATTCCATTACCCCTCTAGTCCATCTCTCCACATCCCATCTCACACCAAATCATTCGCCCGTTACACATTCCAGTTCATCAGAAAGTCTATGCCCTTTTTTTATCTCTTCCTTGCCTTACAGAAAGCGCTTTGGCGAGTTGTTGGATCTGATTCCGCACGCCGACTCCGTGACAAAGCTTGCCGCCCGGTGCGAGATGTGTGGGCGGCCTGCGTCGTTCACTCTGCGGAAGACGCAGGAGACGAAGCTGCGGCTGGTGGGCGGCGCAGAGACGTACATGCCAGTGTGCCGAACACACTACCTGAGCGGGAAAAGTGTTGTAGATCTTACAAGAGATATAGGGGCTATGCATGATTCGTCAAAGGATGATTCGTCATAGCACAAAGCAGCTGATCAAGTTGATGCCTGGGGCCAGGGAGGGCATAGATTTTTTATGATGTTGATGCAACTGGTGCATGTAGCTTTCTTCGCTATCACGATGGTGGAGAGCATGGGTATACGGTAAGAGGATGGCAAGCAAGCATAAATTTATGAGGCTAAATGTGGTGCTGGAGTACGGAAAACCAGTTATTTTTTTGCGTTGTGTTAGATGATGGCAATCAAGCAGCAACATATGTTTACCCCATTACACGTTATTTTAAGGTAGTTGACTACCTTGATTGTGTGTAGCTCGAACTGTGGTAGCAATGTCGGGTGGCCAGCCTGTAAGAAGGTCTCCATTGTTTTCGCACGACCTTACGTTTTCCCAGTGTACAAGAAACGCCAGCCAGTGTACCGTTCTGTCACATGCAACAGTGTCGTGAAATACGCCAAAATAAAAACGCCGCAAGAATCAGCGAGCATCATGCTTCCAGAGGGCTTGGAAACGAATACGTGTGTAAAATGAAATAAAGACAAGGAGAGCTGTACGTCTAAAATATATACAGCTAGTCGCACAAGCTACAGTATTTTCCTTTGCCTTCGCCGCTGCCGAATTTTCGTGTTTGACCCGTAACAGCTGGACCTTGTTCCCCTTGAGTGCGTGTGATTGGCACAAAATCCCCTCGAGTGTACTGCTGTACGTCGAATCAAAGTGCCAAACACACCCGATACTCAGCGCTATCGTCTGACTGACCTCTGTTACCAGAAGTCAGTCAGACCGAATATACTGGCAGTGACATACTGCACCAGAATTCCGTTGGAGTCTTACACCTTTACCCGTCATGTAAGTGTTTAATGAGCGACATCTTTTTCGCCTGCTCACCAGCATTCGCCACGGGCAAAATCGAGACTGTAGTGGGCAGGTGAAGAAATGTAACCAGCTTCTTCAAAATATCTCACGAACGGACGGATTCCAGCGTGATAAGTTGTGTGTTCAATGGCTGCGATCAAAATAGGGGCTCGTCTCGTGCGTGCAACCGGCTTGTACCAATTGCAATTGGGCACGCTGTCGAGATTGAGAAGACCGAATTCGCATGCACCTGCTGAGCATCCTGTGTAAAATGTGTCTTAAGGCTTATGCCTCCTTACTATAATATTTGACAGAAACTTGATGCATTCAACTATATTATGGCACATCGTTTCGTTATTAAATAATTCAAATTTGGGAAACATGTATGTATATCCTTTTCTTCGTTTAACACACCTCTTTCTGATTAATTATTGATTCAAATGTACAAAATATTTCGGGTTTTTGATACAACGTCATATGGAACATGATATTGCTACTGATTCCAAAAAAAAAAAAATTACATTGTGATTATTAGGTTCATAGTGGGCCAAAAACCAATCACTAGATGTATCATACAGAAATGTTACTACAGAATTTCAGTCAGCACAGCCGCCAGGAACGGTGGGAACAAAGGTTAGGATGTGGTGCAGATCGTGGCGATCTGGGGTTGATTGCCGTGATCTCGCAAACCACAAATTCCGAGAAGGTCCAGGGGGTACTTTTGGGCAATCGGGGGCAATCTGTCGATCGCGATCGAGATTGCAATTGATCGCGATCGATTGCCTCGATCTGATGCAATCGTTTGCAACCGACTGCGATCGATAGGTTGGGTATGTTGGCGAGATTAAGCGATTTGTAACTAGAGTCGTTGACGTTCGTCTTGCTCGCTAACACAGAACATCTCTTGACAGTCGAACTAGTAATGGGGCTACCCTGTAATTGTACGACAGAAAAGCGCTTCCAGGTGGAAGGAACATACAGCTCGCCTGACAGGCGCGGTTGAGGTTCCGTTTTGTTTCGTGGAAAAACATGCGTAAGATTGCGCGGCGCGGGATGCGATCGATGATTGCGTCAGATCGGGGCAATCACACCCAATCGCTTCCGATCTGATCCAATCGACCACCGATTGCGTGAGATTGGAGCGATCTGCACCACGTCCTTTTTTTTGGCGAAGAATTTCGTTGCAGATGCTCTGTGAGACTGCAATGAACAGCGGCTGTCACCAGATAGTTAAGAGATTCAACCCGAATGAGGTTTTAGTGTATCGCCTGATTTGGTGACTTTGAACGTTCATCGAACTATTTTTCGGGTTGACTTTAGTTGTTCCCTAAACCCGGGTGGGTTTGATTGAAAATGTCAACCTCCAATCCCACGAGCCCACCAGCCACTGCCAGGAATGCTGTTCCCTCACTCCCGTCCCGTCCGTGTCTGTTCCTCATGTAAAACCTTCCCTTCTGCCGAAGCAACCTGCTGTTCCGCAAACAGTGTGATGTTGGTTCGGACGGGCATCCTACACTCGTCAGTCAGAGTTGTCGTTGGTTGGTTTGGGGGGCCACCCAGGCGAATCCCGGCTGGAGCACTGGGAATTCATAACTGGGCCAATGTTAGTACAGTACCCAGTTGCTCGGTAGTAAAAAAATATTGCCTCGTTCCATGCCCAGTGCACTGAGGTTCAAGTACATCACGCAGCTCCCACAATTTGAGGCACCCGGAAATACGGCCCGAGAGCGGGAATTATGGTGTTGCGGGTGCGGGTGTGGGTAGTATGGTTCTGGGAGGGAAATGTGGGGAGGGGGAGGGGGCTTGGAGGGTGGGGGATTGTGGGGAGAAGGGAACGAGATCTTTGAGAGCTAACAAAAACACAGGGAAATATTTACAACTAGACTTCAAATATTGGGGATTACAGGGGAAACGCTCTCGTATGAACCGGCTTCGTGTCAAATCGTTGACATCGTTCAGCTGTTGGTGCACCCTTTTCAGCACAGCAGCAGGATTTGTGGCCTGATGATGCGAGAACTACACCCTCTTTCGCGCTAGTAGAGCATCTGGTTGCAGAACAAACACAAGTTGTAGAACGTCACCACGTTCAAAACGGTCTTGTCACCAACTGTACAAGCACAATGCCAAGAATGCGGTTAGATAAGGTAATGCACATTACAAACAGCTTTGTCAGCGTTTTCATTTGGTTGGGTGAGGTTTACAGCGATAACGGAAATATTACGCCCTCGAGCCAGTTTGTCACGTGGTTCGGCTTTTCCCCCCAGGTTGCTAGGAACGTTTTGTGGCACCTGACCGCATGAGACAACTACTATAGCGACGAGTCGCGCTAGGTGAAAGGTTGAGAAAGAGGGTGTATCCGATGTCACTTGTCTGCGGCTTTCACGCGCTATTCCGCCACACCACACACTATTCTCTTGTCTACTTCCCTTCCCATTTTAGGGGAATTATATAGAAGGTTACAATTATCCCCGTTTTATCACGTTTGGTCACAGGGGTACCACAAACAGTCACAGTACAGTATATTTCTACTGCGGGTGATCACATTGGTCAGATGGTCACACCTTCCCCCGAAAAACTATCACGTCTGGTCACTCGATCAAACGATCATAAGAAACAGTACAAATTTTGGGGAATCCCAACCTTAATTGCTTGTTACCTCGCGCAATATTCTAGCCCTGACATTTAGTGAATGGAATAAAAAAAATAAACCCCTATTGGATGGCACGTCCTTCGGGAGGCATCAACCCTAAACACCATGCGACAAGGTGTTTTGGGTTGATGCTCCCGAATCAACCTTTAAGTTTCACCCGTCTAAAAGTGATATTCTTAGGAACATTATGCATCGGTCGAACAGTTGACATTCGAATAGTAAAGAATAAAGGGAAAATATGTCAATCGTAACTTACATGGGGCAGTATAACGCATACGGTAACGATTTCGACGAGTTTGGTAACTCGTTTATCGCGTTTGGTAACTCGCTTAACACTTTTGGTAACTCGCTTAACGCGTATAGTAATTATACGCTAGCAGTCTATCACGCGAATGGTAACTAGAAGAAACCCTCGCCCAAAATGACCCTGATTCTGGTTTTTCCCGCTCGCGGCAGATTAAGTTGACGAATCTTGAAGCAGAAACCTCTGACATACTCTCCGAGATTCTGACACAGTTTTCCGAAATTCTGATATGCTTCCCGAAATCCTGATACACTTTCCGATTTTCAAGCTGGTTGCAAAATTGTAAGTGTTGTAAAAAACAAATGTTTTTATACAGCTTATATTCTGGCCCTTTTTCCGCAAACTGTTTGTACTTAATTCTATCGTGCAGCTGGGGCTAACAAATATATACCCCTTTCAGATGGCAAATGAAATTGGGATCATCAACCCTGAACTCCTTGCGACAAGGCGTATGTAGTTTTTTTTTTTTAAATGAAAAATGTAATTCTAAACAGGTGTATCTTTCCCACATGAAAAAAGGCCGACGTTGAAGTAATTACAAAACTTAAGAACCTGAGGCCCTTTCGCGGAAAGTTTTTTTAATCATTTTGCAAGTTCGCAATCATGCTATCAAAAATATCATTTGAACCGTTTTTGTATGAGCCATATATATATATATAAACTTTGAAACGTCTTGGTCCGTGGTATTAGACTAAACAGGGTCCTTCAAAGCCGCGGCGGGACTTGTTCAAGAAAGATAAAGCTGTGCATAAAGGCTTTCAAACTCGATAAATTTCTTAATTTCAGGATCATTTCGGCGGGAGTTTCATATAGTTACCATTCGCGTGATGGGCTGCAAGTGTATAGTTACCATACGCGTTAAGCTAGTTACCAAACGTATTAAGCCAATTATCAGACGCGTTAAGCGAGTTACCAGAAGTGTCGAAATCGTTACTGTACGCGTTATAGTTCCCCATGTAAGTTACCGTTGACATATTCTCCCAAGAAGAAATTGCAAATGTTTTGAACGAGTTACCGAGAGTCTTCACGAAACTTTTTCGTGATAATACGGACAAAACGTCGTGCACCCCGAATCCCTACAGTGACTCGAGTAGTTACACTTCTCGATTGGGCGTTTCATCTGTGACCAAACGTGATAGACTTCCGGGGCTGGGTGTGACTATCCGTGATAGCACTGTGATCACACGCGATAGTTACGAGGTGTACTGTGACTGTTTGTGATACCCCTGTGACCAAATGTGATAGATCGGGATTAACTGTGACTACCTATATAAATTTCCCAAAACCAAGAATCAGGTGATTTCAGGATGTTGAATCAGGGGCGGCTCAAGATCAGGCCGTGATGATCGTTTCCAATTTCAAATGGGATCGTGATTCTCACCTTCAGCCAGCAGTCTAGGGTTCTCAGCTTTATTGAGAAAGCTAGTACATGTTCCCAAGTACGAAAATTGCGGCACAACTACCACAGCGCATTACATGGGCCTTTTGCATTCATCTACTACTACTAGTAGCACCGTTCCACTCGCCCGAGTGAGTCACCCGCACTGCGCGCGCTCCAAGGCCCCCGCATCCGGGATGCGACTCGCGGCCTCGGAGTCAGCCTGACCACCGCACTCCTCCAGGCTGGTTTACTCGAATCTGTGCTTTTTTCACCTGAGTCAGATTCCTCCCGCGCGAGAATGATTCACATTCCGCCGCCGCCGGCACCGCATTGTGCGCCGCCCCTGCCGGCGAATTCAGCAGAATCGTTTCGCTCAGCGGCTGCTGCAGCCCCCAGTGGGGGTGCTGGCGCCGCACCAGCGGCTGACGCTGCTGGCCCTCCCGCGGCCACTGCCACTGGCAGTGCTGGTTGGATGGTGAAATTTGAGCCCCAGTCAGACGCCAACGGGAAGACCATTGAGGACGCGGCGCCGCAATGTCACGCCGCCGCGGCATTGCAGCAGCAGCAGACACCTCAAGCAGATGCATTTAAATGGAAGAAGACGTCGCACAAGCGAATAGCGGGTCAGCCTGTGAAGAGGTAAGCACAAACGACTGGTAGTTAAACCTGTGAAGAGTTAAGCACGAGCTAACAGATCAGCCTGTGAAGGAGGTAATATTATCAGCACTTTGGTTTAGCAGGTCAGGCCTGTGAATTGGTACGAAAAGGCTGGTCTGTCGACTGCATCGCACGGAGAGTAACAAGTCTGGAAGGTGAGACTTCTGAAGGCATGTGCAAACTGAGATCACCGCATGCAGGTGCAGAGACCCGGCAGTGCATATGTCATCGACTGGCGGGGCTTCAGGGTGTACAGTGCAAGTCATAGGCCGCTACAGCTCTGAGCAATGCAGTTAAACTGCTCGGCTCGCCTCTGCTCGGCTCAGCTCGGCTCAGCTCGGCTCAGCTCGGCTCGGCTCGGCTCGGCTCCGCTCGGCTCAGCTCGGCTCCGCTCCGCTCGGCTCGTGTCGCCTCGGCTCAACTCGGCTTAACTCGGCTCGTCGGCTAATTCTGCTCGGCCTGTACGAAACTGGTCTCCGCTGGTCGGCACTTCTAGGCTCTGGTCGATACAGGTCGGCTCTGGTCGGCACCGTTCGACTCTGGTCAGCACCGTTTGACTCTGGTCGGCAGGCACTGATTACCATCACTCTGGTCGGCTGTGATCAGCTGTGGTCAGTTCTGGTTTTCTCTCCCCGACGAAGCCAGCCAATGTGCTTCACTTCACATTCCCTTCTCTTCTCATCCAACATGTAGATTGTGTGTTTCCTCAGTCGTCTCCTGCTGTAATGTGCACCCCTTTTTCTCCTTTTCTCCTTCCCTTCATGCAGGCTCTACTTTGTTTGCTCATCCAAATACGTCACGGGCTGCCCGGCAAAAAAAGTTGAGGATCGAGTGGCCGGCGAGGCTCGTCACCCGTGCCGCCCAAAGCTGAAAGGCGCCGTCGCAAAAGCTGCAGCCATTTCAAAAGCTGCAGCCACTGCGAGAGCTCCTGCTACAGCCAGTGCCACATTATCTACAGTTCCTAGCAATCCCACGGCTACAGCCAAAGTAGCTGTGGCTGTAGCAGGACGGGCAGAAGAAGACGACACAGGGTCGGACAAGACGGAGATGCGTGTGGTGGTGCGGGTGGCATATTTTGGCGCACACAACCACCCGCCGCCGCCCGCTCCAGTAGCTCCCAAGGCTCATGCCGTCACCTGCCTTCCCATGTCAGCGTCCCTCTCTGCTGATACAGCCTTTCCTTCTGCTACAGCCTTAGCCTCTGCTACAGCATTAGTGCCTACGACCCCTTTTGCCCCTGCTACAACCTTCACCTCT